GTCTAATTTTTGATTGAATAATCTCTGCCTCGATCACAGAAGGCTCGATAATTTTGTATAGAAAAGTTGCATCTTGCTCAATTTTTTTTAAAGATTCATTTAATGAATCAAAGCGATTCTTTATTTTGTCAATCTCAATAATGGAGCTTCTTGCGGATTCACAGGGCTTAGCTGACTGATCGAGAGGGGCTTGTAATTTTATCTACGACTAGAGAGAAGACACGACAAACCAATGCATTTAATTCCCGTATTTGGGTATCACAATTGGCGATAAACCCTGGCATTTTATTTTTTATATCGTCCATTGTTCTAAAGTTGGAATTAATTAAATCAGGCAAATCAAGGGACGAGTGTGACGACATTTGGGAAAGACGATGGAGCCAAAACGAATTGTGTAGACGACTGCAAATGCAATTCAATAAAATGTAAAAACAGGAAGGGCGTTAATATATCAATTCGGATAAATGCAATTCAAGTTAATACAATATTACGTGTATTTAAAAGTTTGTTTACAAAAAAATTTTATATCCAGTATTTTGCATTTTTATATTTGCAATCTATTTTTTACTTTTCTTTAAGTATTTATTCCGCCCATCTTGAAATATTTCTACGGCATGCGTCTCCGGCCTTTGCCTCATCCCAAAATCGTCAAGAAGCACAGGAAGAAATGGTTCCGACACCAAAGTGACCTATTCAAAAGGCTTGGTGAAAAATGGCGAAGGCCTAAGGGTATTGATAGTAGAGTTCGAAGACGGTTTAAGGGGCAGGTTCGCATGCCTAGCATCGGCTATGGCAGTGCTTGCAGAACGAAGCATATCCATCCTGATGGTTTTAAGCATATTCTTATCAATAATCCCAAGGTATGTTCCATTTATTCCCCTATCGCTCTAGGAACTAGAGGTCCTGTTGATGCAGCACAGAACGCATGCAGCTGTCATAGCTCATACCGTATCGAAAAAGAATAGGATCAAAATTGTCGAACGGGCTAAACAGCTGAATATTCGCGTTATTAATAAAGATGCTGGGCTGAGGACAGCGGAAAATGAGTGATCGAATGAGCATAAAGAGTGATTGCTATAAATACATATAGGAAGTACTTGCTCGTCTTTGATTTTGTCTCGGTTAGGCTCCCCAGTTCGGCCACAATGCACACTTCATCCACTGCACCTCTGCACAGATTGCTTAAGTACGAGCATGATGCAATCATATTATCGTAGCTTTTCTCGGCTACCTAGGCCATATGACGTCTTTCGTGCCTTTCCGGCAATTGCAATGGTTCATGCTCCTTTCTACCTTCCACTAAGCTTTCTTCCAGCCCTCGTTGCATTACAACCTGTAAATGTCCGACTTTCACAACCCCGGATACTGCAGATAGAATGCTGTTGGACCTTGCATATGGATCCATTTTTGTTGATGTACTGGTGGTTTGCCTTATTCTGCATCCGGGCCTTAGTATATATGCTGCTGGCAGGTGGCTTTGGTTTGTACTCTATGATTGCTTTTATTGCATTAAGGATAGAGTGAATCTTTTCTGGCCACATCTCCCATTATTTTATTTCGAGGTAATGGAAGAAGGAAAATAAGTCAATATTAGCGTTTCATCTTTAGTGCTTGGGTTTACGCGGATGTTTAATCGATAGGGCTTGCGAAATATGTCTTCCAACTATTCAGTATTTGGTGACCTTGTGGACAGACGTCTGTCCAGTGATACGCTGCAGTAACCGCGTAGATAGGTCGAGTTACTGCGTGCAAAAGTTTCAAGATTGTTCGAGGACAACTTCTGATCGTAATGGCGAATATGAGTTTGCTTTACTAACGTCCGTTTCATTGGTAGTGTCGATCAAGAAAGACTTCAGCCATGTTGCCGGCTGACGTGTTTGGTTAGGTTATGTGATGGACTCGCCGTCTTCACACCCCGTTTCCCATTCAGTTTGGATTTCGATATATTCGAGCCCTCAATGAAAAAAGGCTAAGTGAAATGCATAGGCGTCTGGGGCATGTCTAGTTCTCTCGCGTCACCTTACATAGCGATTCAACTACCTAAAGTAATGCGTAACTAAGCCATTCTTGCAACGTTAAATTAAGCAACTATCGGGCCAACATTTTGTATTCCTGTTTCCAGTTCTACTTATGACTAAAAAAATAGGAGCCAATTGCGTCTAAGCTTGATAGCCTTTGATCCAGTTACATCTGTGTGCATTCAGTCGAAAGGCTGAAAGATACTCTTTCCTACACAAGGAGGATACCAATCAGTGTGATTGTGGCCTATGCGAATGTAACAGGCCTAACTCAGATTTCAGTAGGGGCCTCTTATGACACTGAATAAACCTTCATTACCTTTATAGAGGTTGTCTGACCTTGTTTTCGCAACTTGGTCATATAGGTAATTAAGGCCTAGAGAAATGCACCTAGTCCAGAGTCCATTGAATGCATGATCATTTTAAGTCGGACCGCGGGCGTGGTACGCTTTCAGACGTTTCGCCGGCATCGTCAGTGAGCCTCGCCATTCTTAGCACCACACAACAGGTCAAAGAGACAACAGAAGCCGATCATTTGATCAAGCGTTTGTTAAACAGTTGTAGTATCTTTCCTTCTGCCCTAAGCTATTCACATTTCCTATATCCTCCTATCACGCCTTCACTGTTACAATTTTTATTGTGCCTATTTTGATGTAATATGGTGTGCTCCTTTGAGCGGCATTCATGAAAACTTTTGACACGCTGGTGTTCTCACCCCCTTCACCCTTGTTGTGGGAATGTTGATCAGTCTGCAATATTGCTACGCAGTACTTCCCTATGTCTTATCATAGTCTCTCTCTTGCCCCCTAATATCCGTCTACTCTCTCCTTGGTTCACATATTTCGCTCGACCCCTGCCACCCCATCTGTGCTGCTTGAGGTGTTATTCGCCCCCCCTCCGTCTAGGTGACTAATTCGAGGCTAAATCCTCTGAGTAAGTCTCGTGGACACGCCTTTGCTACATGGACCACATCTATGGTAAAAACAGGCCTACTGTCAGCCAACTAGCTCCAGTCTCCACCACGTCTATTTTGTTTATATCCCTAATACCAAGTCTATGACTTCCTATGCACTAGTCCCTTGTGTGCCAACGCACAAGTGTTGTGATACTGCTTGCTTTGATTAAGTTCAATCTTGAACCACAACGTTTGTGAGTTGGAACGTACCACGTTTACGGTCTGACTTTTAAAATGATTATGCATAGAATGGACTCAAGACTAGGTGCGTTCCTCTAAGTCTTCCTACCAATATGACCAAGTTACGAAAACAAGGTCAAACAACTTCTATACAACGAAAGGAAACTGCTACCACACAAAAGGCCACACCATCTTGGTCCTCATACCTTCGATTTCATTACTTGTGTTGCACTTGCGTCTTAACTCGACAGGATTCGGGTTTACTTTGTTTGAAATTTAATTATGGCGGTAAGGAAGCCACCATTTGAGCAAAAGGTGAATTTTGCGACTACGGTGTATTAGTTGCCCTACTGGTTATCATATAGACCGAGATCTCTATT